GGGAGGCGTAGCCAGAGATGAAGTCAGCCTTAGGAACAGCTGACTGGCAATTCCACAGGCCACCAGAAACTAGATGTTGGATCTCAGTGGAGCACGTGGGATAGACGAGAGCAGGCCGGTTATATCGATTAGGAGATACACGGGGCCAGTGATAATTGCGAGAAGACACATGAACAGGAATGGAGAAAATACACATGATTATAGCATGAGGGGCTAGAAAACTAAAGAAAAGATAAATAAGACACCAGCTCAATCAGAGTAGGATTTGCCTCCCTCGTGACTCCCGCAGGACTCCAATGTCTTTGTCAGTCTTACTCCCGTAGGACTCCAATGTCTTTGTCAGTCTTAGCCTGTCTGACGCTGAAGCTGACGCTCCAGGAAAGAGCTACCCAAAATGGACGCCTGATTGCTGAGTTCTCACAGCTGTAGGGGCACGCCCCTCTAATTAGTTAACTATCTACAGCTGATGGGCGACAATAGATTGGCCCTGCCTATATTAATGCAGGCTTGAGTGCTGAGACCTGTAAAGCAGGTTTCGCCTGAGCAGATCTGAGATTTAAAATCTCTCAAACGCGATTTAGCCGTTTAAGCTACAATAACAATTTATACAGAGTCGAATAAATGAAACAGAGAAGTCTAATTAAACAAGAATATAACTTACAGTGGTTGCTGCGTCAATAGGTAATGTCGTCACCGGGTCCAGATGCACACTGATTTCATCAGATTTTAAATGCGGTATTTAAATGCTTTTCAAGGTAAAAAATGACTGAGTCACGCGGTTGTACTTCACGCTATCAATAGACTGGCCCTGCCTATATTAATGCAGGCTTGAGTGCTGAGACCTGTGAAGCAGGTTTCGCCTGAGCAGATCTGAGATTTAAAATCTCTCAAACGCGATTTAGCCGTTTAAGCTAATTAAGGTCCTGTGATGAAAAGATAATTGAACAATAGTGTATCTTTAGTCAGAGGTCTTACGCTGCCAAAGACACGACCTGCTTTACTCCTGATCAGCTCCAGACTGTCTGCATTCTTCTTCTGGGGCATCAGACTGCTGCCTGTGCTGCACAATCAGCAAGTATAGGGGAGACGAACAAAAGAAACAAGGTAAATGCAGGTTTAAATGCACAATTAAAGATTGGGCTTAATACAGCTTTAAGATTTCATAATGCTGATGGTTGAGGTGAGAAAACCTGTCTACAGAGACAGTACGATCTAAAAGTTTTCATTTCACTTTGACATCATTCAGTGTATAACATAATTTATTTTGACAGCAGCCCTTAAACGTATGGGAGCTTTTGTTTACTGACTAACCATTATAAATTCACCCGGACATTTGTCAAATATCATTTACTATATTGAATTGGAGTAATGCACATGTGGAGATTAAAAACAATACAAAATGCCTGACTTGTCACAAGTTGATCCAAATGTGTGTAGTCTTAAGATCATGTGCAAACTGTATTTTAGGACCATGTTATAAAATATAAACCGACCAGTAGGCGTCAGAGAGCGAGATGAAGGAGAACTCTTTTGTGCTGTACAGCATCAGGTCCTCGGCCATCTTACTCAGATGGGTCAAACACAATGAAGCCCAAAATAAGAACTCCGCTAAAGAAACAGACACAGAGGCATTACATGAAGAAACGTAGAGAACACAGAAAAATTATCCTTTTTTTTATGTTTACGTTTCAAATGACTTGAAAGACATGTAAGGTTTTACGTACCGACAAAGTCCCTTTGGCCTGTGGCGTCCATGCTGTTAATACTGATTCCATCAAACTCCAACTCTACACATGAGGAGAAATTGTATAGTTTAACTTCATAAAAATCTATTTTTTATAAATAAACCACACACAGGTGAAAGATAGCTGCAACAAATGTGCTCTCAAAATATTTTGACAGGATAATTTTGAAATGTTCTGGCCCGACCTTTCCGCAGTAGCTCTCTGTCGATGTCAAATGGTGTTCCAGCAATGGCACCACTGCAAAACAACAAGAATCCTTGTTATTAAATGATCAGATCAATGGGAGAAAGTCAGTTTCAGACCGTGAGTTTGTGTTCAAAGCATACCTGCCAAGAGGTAGGACATTAACCCTTTTCTTGATCTCCTGAAGTCGGTCCACATCTCTGCTCAGAGCAACAGCATGACTGGGGGCAAAGAAACCAACATCACTGTTATTAACAAAAGATCATCTAAAATAAAAGTTCACTTTATTAAAAAGGTCACCTTAGAATCCAGTGGCTCCATCTGATTGGCTGAGCTCTCTGCATGTGAGTGTAACCGGGAAACAGGACATCAATTTCTCTGAAAGGTGACAGTAGACAGACACAACTTTTAAAAAGAACAGGGAAAAGTGTATTTGTCGTTTGTGTAAATGTGTTTCTATCTCACGCTGCCGCCCGCTCCACCATGGTGGACATCAGCTGTAGGGCATTGTCCGTCAGGGTGGTGATGGCATCTCGCAGCCAAAGCCTCATGTCCGTCACAACCTGGATGACACAAACACACGCAGCACGGTCTACTGATATCAGCTAGTTCTTACAGAAAAGTAAAGGCTGCAAACAGTCATTTTAGTGTAAAAACAAACCTGGTCGTTTCTGCTCCTGCCTGTGTGCAGCTTCCCTGCAGGTGCACCGATCAGCTCCTGAAAAAATAACAGGCAGTAAAAGGACTAAAATAAATACTCATCACAACCAACACCAATCTACCAAGGATGACAGACAGAGTATGTTAATAACCCATTTCTAAAGGAATCATTATTATGTTAAATACCGTTTTGACTCACTTCTGCAGAGTAATGTAAAACTCACAAGCCTTATCTCACCTTTAGCCTGCGCTCATTGGCAGTGTGAATGTCTTCATCTCCAGGTTTGATCACAAAAGCACTTTTGGACCACTCTTCTGAAATCTGGAGAATCCAAAAAAGACGATATCACTAAATAAGCTAAACCTATACTGTGCAATTAAAGAGTTCTTCTCTGCTTTTAACAAAGACAGCTACTTTTAAATGCATTATGGACCTACTGAGTTAGAGGCAGCACAAACCACTTAAATTACATTTTACATCAACATTATGTTTGTTTGTGTTTTGTGTTAGTTGCTTAATTTCACTTGCATTGCCAAAGCATAACACCAGGGTAAAGAAGGCCGCCTAAAACCTGAGCTGACTGTTAAACTGAGGCTGTTAGGCAGCTTACATCTGTCACATGAGGATAGTATTGTGCAGCACAAAGTCAGCATAATACAGAGAGGAATTCTGCCCCATGGCACATTTTCAGCTGTCATCTATTAACCTACATAAACAGTGTGGACAGGGAAGACAAACATACCCATTATGCAACAGGAGTGTATTCCCAAGACAAGTATGAGAGCATTGTAGTCAGAAAGTGAAGTATCACACAGACTATTCGCTGCACAGTGTTAGGCTTATCATGTGGTGAACTTAAAGTCAGTTTATTTTCCATGTATTCATCTGTGTGTGTGTGTGTGTGTGTGTGTGTGTGTGGTGTGTGTGTGTGTGTGTGTGTGTGTGTGTGTGTGTGTGTGTGTGTGTGTGTGTGTGTGTGTGTGTGTGTGTGATCACCTGATCCAGTCCTTGTAAAATCTGATTCATCTCATCCGTAGTGACCAGCTTTGTCTTCTCCAGAGCTTTCACATAAGCCTTGCTCCCTCGGATGTCAGCATCCCACATCCTCTTGTCATAAGCGATGGATGCATTGAACCTCTCCATGATAGGATCAGTGTCTCCCACGAAGCGACCCCCCCAAAGTTTATTTCCCTGACAAGCGGCACAGACAGGGAGCATGACTGGCTTTAGCTAAATGTTAGATGAAACAAAGTTGGTAGAAACAATACAATATTCGCCGTTACATGTGTCTGTATACAATGGTGGTCCTAGTTTGACGGCTTGCTTTAGCTCCAGCTGGGTGTTAAAACAACAAAAACACATGTATGCCGGTGGTCGAGATGCCTCAAGCTTTACCTTACCTCTGTGCTGGCCATGTTTTTCGCCGGTCGCTGTCTGTCGCGGTTTTGTCCGGTGAAACAATATTTAGGCAGAGGGGAAGTTGAATGCCAACTACAACCCAATAATAACGTAGCTTCTAGACGTGAGGCTACAGCGAGGCAGTTTCCCTCTAAAGGTGTGTGTATCTCTTTAAAAGACGTCACCGAAGACGTTCCACGCTGCTTCTCATATTACGTCATCCGTTTAAAGTTAAGAAAACTATTTATTATAATTACATGGCTTTTATCAAATTATGAATCATATAATCCATTGATTTGTTTTCTCATCATATGTATTTTACTTTCATTTAATGTAAAAAGCTTCCTGCACAATACAATTACGGAATGATTCACATTTGTTTTTGTCATTACTGAATTCCCTGGCACTTGTTTTCCTTGTTTATTATTTGCAATTGTTCATATGTCATTTTGTTGTCTGTATTTGATCAAGTTGGGTGACAACAACTGGTATGAGGAAGTGATGCCTCTTAATTTTTGGGAAACTATCTATCATTGCATCCTAAGAACACAAATAAGGGGAAAACAAGAATGACATAGATGTAGCCTGCGTTTTACCTTTTGTGGAGTCTTTATTTCGGTCTTGTGGACATACAAACCAAATGAGATATGTGTAAGTGTTTATCCTTGATCATATCTTCACCCTATAAAAACAAGACTACATCTGAATGTAGGCCACAGACAACAAAAATCACATACTATTTGACATGTAGCCTACTTTAGTTATTTCTGCACTCACTTGCACTATTTTATTTCCATTTCTGTTTCATCATCTTGCACTTTTTTTATTTAATGTAATACTTGATGTCTTAATTATATTTATGTTGCAGTGTTGGAGTAGCCTGGGACTGAAGAAAAGCATTACTGCCGTACATTTTGTGTACATGCCAAAAAAGCATTTGATTTCACACGATGTTTTACACGTTGTCTCAATAAAGTTGTGAAAAAAAGTCAGTTCTCTTTTGCTCGCTCAAAGAAGAGGGGAGAACCCTGTTGCGGCGGAATTGTCAATTTGATTGTATTACTGTTCCTTTACTTCAGTGAAAAACGTAATTGGGTGATGGAAAGATGTTAAAGACAAATATTAAGGACTTGGGAAAAGACCGGAAAAGACTCACGGTCCTAAGAAAGTCCTGTTTCTCTCGCCCACCGTTACGCCTCTTTAGTGACGTCACCGCAACCATTTTTTAGCGGCAATAACAAATTCTAGATGGGAGGAAAAGGAGAAGAAGACACACCACAATCTCTCCGGAAAACATCGACCGATGCTTGCTCAGTGGCCGTTTGTTTGACGTTTTGGTAAGTTCAATTATTAAAAAAAACCTTTTAAGCGCTCTGTAACAACTAAAGAAGAAGCAGGTATGGTCTAGTGATGGCAAAATGAAGCTTTGAATGAAGCGTCGAACCACTTGGACAATTGTGTCGGAAATAGGTTCATTTCTCGAAGCTTCAGTTACAGCGACCTCTCCTGGCGAAGTGCAAGGCTGCAGTGGGTTTAACGTATATTTGCCTTGAAAAATATTCGATGCACACACACACACACACACACACACACACACACACACACACACACACACACACACACACACACACACACACACACACTAAGACTGAATATCATGTTCTATTTGCAATTAAAGATTGATAATTGTGTGTATTGGGTTATTGAGAAGAGACTAGAGAGTGCTAGACATGTTTTTGGGCGGAGAGGGCCTTTTATCAGTTATTAAAGTTGAAAAGCAATGATTAAAATACGTCCATTCCGGGTTTTGAACCAGCTGCGCGGAGGACATCGCCGCATTCGGGCCGCCGGCTGTACCCACTGGGCTATCTATTGCTTGAAATATTTAACAGTTTTTATATTACTGATAATTGTCTTTTTGTTCACAACTTCTCCACATTTCGAAGTGTTTCCCGAGCCAGAACGACCTATCTTTCTTCCTGGCTTGCTCTATAATGATATCAAATGCAATACCAACAACAACTCAACAGCAACAACGCAAACTACGACAACAACCCACACATTGTGCATTGTTTAGAGCGGTCATAAAGTGTTGAAGCACTCAAGTTTGAAACTGTTTCAACCTGTCAGAATCGAGACGAGGCAGTGCATTGAATCGCGTGAATGGACCGTGAACCAGTCAAGTGATTCATTCAGGAAATGAAGCAGTTGCTGCTTCGGACGTCATATGTCACGTGATTTGAAGCAAGCTTCGAAGCACTGCTTCTATGGAATAGGAAGTCCAGGGTTGAAGCTCCGTTCGAAGCTTCAGTGTCAAACTGCCATCACTAGTATGGTCCTTATTGAGTCTTGTAAGCAAACATTACTAAACTTGTCGCAGTTCGCTAGCGGCTAGCCTAGCAGTGTGCAGAATTTACTCACATACTGTTGGCTACTTACGGTATTTACACATTTGAGGTACTTCTACTTCTAGTAGTTACTACTAGCTACTAGGATAAATGTATAAGACATCATTTAAATTTAAAAAAATTAAAAACTTGATATGGGCCATACTGGAAAATTAGTACTTTTTGTGCTTGAAGTATATTTTGATGCCAATACTTTTGTACTTTACTTGGGTACACATTTGAATGCAGAACTGTTACTTGTAACATAGTATTATTTGTACAGTGTAGTATTGCTACTTTTACAGATCTGAGTACTTGTTACACCTCTGGACTAGCCCATACATGAATTATAGGAAATGTAGAAACAATATAGAAATGCAGAAACAATGTGTCTGCTCAATATTCTACACAGACATTGATGACATTAATATTGATTGAATTCAACACAGTACTGACAAACATCAATTACTGTAGTATTGATTGCTTGTGATATTATACACCCCAATGTGCATGATGAGGGCTATGGCCACCTTACATTTGGCCTTTTTGTTGTTGTGCTTTTATTGAATTGGATCACAATAAACTCCATGTTAATATGAGCACACTAAATTGACCTCATGTGTACTGTAAGTAATTTGCATTAATACAATGTATTTGCCTTTTCCTAAAGAAAGAAGATCACCTTATATTTGCCATTGTTACATTTGTGCTCGACACATTACAAAATGGGTCCGAAGAAGTTGAAGCTGGCAAAAAAGGGAGTGGGACCAATGGACGGATTTTTAACGGTACCAATTTTCTCCTGTTAATTGAAATGTACATTACTTTCTTTATAATATAATATATATGTTATTTATAATCATAAACATTTGAATACAGGATTTTGAGATGTTAGATTACTGATTTATATGGGTTACTAAGTTTAATTTAGCTTTGTGTCTTTTCTTTAAAAAAAAATCTTTATTCTACTAATTCAATATTAGTACAGAGAATTAACGAAACCGACAAACAGAATTTGTAGAAGTGGGAGAGATCTCTTGTGAAGTATACAACACTTAATACTTTACAATGAATAACTTTTCTGTCTGTGATCTCTAGAGAAAACCAGCAAGCCAGAATGGGAGACGCAGCGAGCCTTCCGATTTACAATCTGTTGCAGAGGTTTGTCATATTTTATTCTGTATCTTTGTTGGCCTTTAAAAGTCCTATAGATAGTATATTGTTCTTGTCTCACACTTCTTGCATTTTAATTCAACTTTTGGCACCCAAATTCTTTGTAACAGCAGTTCATTTGATATGAGCAACCCATGATAATAGGTGTATCCCTTAGAACAGTGGTTCCCAACCTGGGGGGCGCCAAAGATCGCAGGGGGGGCGCCAGGCCTCAGATGATTTGAGGCCAAATATCATATTTAGATTTTTTTAATTTATTTACATATAATTGTAACGCAATACATGATTGTCACTAAAAGCCTTGTCTCTACATTACAATAAAATATAAAAAATAATTGATTAATTAATTTGAATACAAATTCAAGTTAGTAGCTATTATAGGCATAAAAAGACAGAAATGTATAATTTTAAAAACATAGTCATTGTCCATGCCGGTTTCAGTTGGATTATTTGTCACAGTTGCTCCGATCAGATCGGTCTCCTCCATTTTGTAGATTATTTACGACTTTTGAATCCACATAAACACATCGGCAAAATCTGGCTTACTTTGAGCATGTGTTTTAAAACAGTTTAATCCCTTTGTGAATTGTTTCCACTTGCGCCGTCCTTTAATTTCTTCATACAGCGGCAATCCAAATGAATTAATCCTGAGTCCAATAACCATCAAAGTCACTCCAATAGTGCTCCTTAATTACGCTTTCATCCTCCTTTAACAAAATACTTCACATTCATCCAGTTTGTGACAGTAGTTGTAGCATTTTGAGACTTTGAAACTTTAATTACCGCTGTTGCAGTTTTTATAGAATCTATGCCATCTATTATATAGATAGTATACACAGGAATCTATTGCTCACGACTTACATTTTGATTTAACTTTTGATGTCCATTATTTCCATGTAGACACACAACAAAAGTGTGGGAAGCAGCCAACCCTCTGATTTACAACCTGTTCCAGAGGTTTGTCTTATTATTTTTCTATGTCTTTTTTTGCCATTTAATGTTATAGATAGTAAACAAACACTAAGATCTATTACATTTTGATTTAACTTTTGATGCACATATTCTTTGTTGCAACAGTTTATTTTATATTAGCAGAACATGATAATAGGTTTATACATTAATACGCTATTGATAACCTTTCTGTCCATTATTTCCAAGAAGACAGCCAACCAAAACGGGGAAAGCAGTCAACCTCCTGATTTAAAACCTGTTGCAGAGGTTTGTCATATGTCTTTCTGTTTCTGTGTTGGCATATTACAGTTATAGATAGTATACATAGAGACCTATTTGACATGGATTACACACCTTACTTTTTAATTCAACATTTGACACACAGATGCTTTGTAACAACAGTTTTTTTATATATATTTTAATAGCATGTGCCAAAAGGTTTATTCCTTAATGCATGCTATTAATAACATTTCTGTCCATTATCTCCATGAAGACAGACAACCAGAAAGGGGGAAACAGTCAACCCTCTGATTTGTCATATTTTGTTAGTGTATGTTTTCATTTCACTTCTGCCACTTTGTTGTTTATTTGTTGTCCGTCCCTCATGTGTCAGCCCCGTGAGGAACTGCCATCGTCTAGTGGGAGTACGTCACCTCTCGCCCAAAGTCGGCAGGGATCGTCTCCAACCTCAAGCAACCCTTTGGATAGACAGGTTAAACCTTCTTTTTTTTTATAGAAAAAGATATAATGTAATTGTTATTAAATCAAATGAGTAATCATTGTGTTTCACTCGTAGGGAGAAGAGACACATGGAACCCATAATTTCGAGTGGATCTTGAGTGGTGACAACAAAGCGATAACGCTCTCCTGCAATAAAGCGGGTACTGTTGAGGACGTGCTCAAAAGAAGTTCACAATTTAGAGACATCTCAGAAAATAACCTAAACAAAGAGCTGGTTATTATGAAAAATGGAAAAGCCATCAGTTCCCACTTCCCATGCTGCTTAATTAAGAACAATGAACGACTGACTGTTAAGTATGTTAAAGCTGTTAAAGCTAAAGCTGTTCAAAATGCCAAGCAACCGGTTAGTGGCTCTGTTCAACGCAAAAGAAAGCGGCGGTCTGGCGAGCTTGTGATGTTTCATTTACTGACTAAGGGAGGTAAAGATGTGGTTAATATCATGACAAACAGCACACTGACAAAAATTCCGGAAATAACTGTGTATGCGTACAAAGATGAAAAGGTGAAGCAAGCTCTGAGAAGAGATAGTCGTTTACTGGATATTGTGTTCACAAAGAACTGTGTGCTCTCTCACACAAGCTCTGAGGTAATCACTGAAATGTCCAGCCTGGTGGACGATCTTGATGGTAAAAGTTTTAAGATCATACTCCTCAATAGGAAGAATCCACCAGAAAGTCAGCCTGAGAGTCTTGAACTTGATGACATGCAAAATGAACCTCGGATCATTGATCCCAGTGGAGACCAAGCTCCTCCAAAGCAGTCTACCACAAATGACTCCCTGAATGAAAACACACCAAACCAGAAACCAACGCTAAATGGTAACATGGCAACAGGAAGCACGTTACGTGAGATACCGAATTCAAAGGAGATGAAGGGTCGCCTACTTGCAGAGTTCAAACATTCGGTTAAAGGGAAGAAAACTCAGAAGCAAACTCCACTTTCTCGGATCCAGAGACTCTTCCGTGTAGATTATGGAAAAAACGTGCAGACATGCAACGAAGTGAAAACACTGAAAAAACTGATGGATCTGAGTAATTCGGTTTGCCATGTGAGAATAAATGGTAGATCAGGGGGAAGTGGCTTCCTCCTGTTTGGCAAGTTTGTCCTCACAAATGGCCATGTAATTAAGGGCATTTATAATGAGAGTGAAAGGCAGCTGACTGAGAAAGTCACTGTCCACTTCTCTTATGAAAGTCTTGGCCAGGTGGATCCAGGAGCAGCAGTGGAGGAGGACGTTGTTGGCTTTGAGTTTGGTTGTGATGTTTCAGGGCATATGTATGACTGGGCTTTGTTGAGGCTCTGTGCTGACCAGGAGTTGCCTGATGTTCTGTTAAAACACTTCAGGTTCCTTCCACAAAAGGGTGGAATCTGCATCATCGGGCATCCTATGGATGCAGTGAAAAAGATAGATCCATGCTTGATTGTTCCAAGAGAAGGCCTAAATCAGGTTGTGGAGAGGCATCAGGCAGAATACAGTCAAATGCCCATTCAGTTGGTTACTCACCAGTTATTTGATGGTGTGAAAGAAGATATCAGACAACAGCCAAAGACTCTACTATACGAGTCTTGTTTTTATTATGGTTCATCTGGCTCTCCTGTCTTTGACGAACACTGCAATGTTGTTGCAATGCATTCAGGCGGGTATGAATACCCTAATGGAAAGGATGAAATCCAGAGTGTCATAGAGTTTGGCTATCCTTTGTCCGATATTATGGAACGTATTGTTATCCAAATGGTGCAAAGCAACAGGTTCGATGTTTTGAAGGAATACCTGGATTGTGATCATGCTGATCAGCAAAGGGTGATGAGCAATTTGAAGAACCTGGTTGAGGGCAGAAATATCATCGCATTTAAAAACAGAGTCAACGACCCACTGATCTGTAATGACGAGGGTTTGAAGAAGTTCTTTGAGTTCTTCTCTCAGATGGATGAACCTGTCCCAATGGACTAGGGTTGCACGGTATTGAAAAAAACTGACCCCTGCGGTATATATTGCGGTTTTTTTAACCTGTTAAACCCCAAAGTCCCGGCGGGTACTTTACTTTTTTTTCACGACAGTGTCTCAGGGGATCGTAATATTTAAGAACCTATTAATGTGTTATACCAGATTAACAGAAATAATCTCAGCTAACTGAGTATACAAACCATTTTTACCAAAACAAAACACAAGTCTCATAAGAAGCATCTAAATTACCCCTGATAGAAAAATGCTAACGGACATTGGCACAGAACTCAAGATAAAAGTACCCTTATTACTTATCGTAGCTACACATACAAGATATCCGATTAAAGCTGAGGTTCCACAGATTATTTAGGTATATAGTATCATCACTGAGTGATCTGAACTCGGACAGGGGAAGCAAACACAGACATCACAACACGTACCTTTACGTAGCTTCTAGGGGAGATGTCTCACCGTAGCTGTCAATCTGATCAAAAGACGTGTTCAATGGCATTAAAACGAGAAAGAAAAAACGCGGCTGAATCGGTTAATCCATAGGTTTTTAACGTCTCTGTATAAAAAAATGATTTAATTTATAATCCATAATTCCATTTTTATGTAAATATCGCAGAGCAAAAGTTAGCTGCTAATGGTAGCCACTAGAGTGGCTGCTGCTTCCGATCTCGGCTATGCGGAAGTCTCACACACACACATTACCAAATAAGGACTGTGTGATTTCCCCTCGATTCCATTGGCTCTGACGGTCAGAAGAGATGTCACATGTCAAAATCCAGCGAGGTGGGCCAGAGATATGGAAAATCTACCCAAATGGCCCCAAAAGAGGGGTTTTTGTGTGCTAAATCGGTCTAAAAAGGTCAAATATCACTTGTTTTGCATCAATCTTGATACAGAATGATTGTGATTGGTGGTTTGCTGTGCATGCAGGGGAAGTTCTACACACACCAACCCATGAACAAATAAGGAGTGAGAGTGACGCATAGCCAAAACCGGAAGCTGCATACACTCTGGTGGCTACCATTAGCGGCTAACTTTTGTGCTCCGATTTTTCCATAAAAATGGAATTATGGATTATAAACAATTGCTTCAAAGCCACAGATGCATTATCAACCTATGGATCAACTGATTCAGCCGCGTTTTTTCTTTCTAGGTTTAATGCCATTGAACACGTCTTTTGATCAGATTGACAGCTACGGTGAGACGATCTCCCGTAAAAGGTACGTGTTGTGATGTCTGTGTTTGCTTCCCCTGTTGCGAGATCGGATCGCTTAGATACTATACTTAAATAATCTGTGGAGTCTCAGCTTTAATCGGATATATTGTATGTGCAGTGTCGATAAGTAATAAGGGTATCTTTATTTTGAATTCTGTGCTAAAGTGCGTTAGCATTTTTTTTTTTTTTATGAATAAAACCGCACGTCCCTGCGGTGTGAATACCGCGCATGCGCATACCGCGGTTATCGCCATGACATGGTATATCGTTCAACCCTACAATGGACATTTGAAATTGATTGAGCGACACCGACAGTAACCCAGCTGACCAATGATTCAGTGCAAACGGTTCAAGTTGTGTGCAAAAAAAGAGAGATTGAGATAAAGATCTCAAACAACTTGCTGTACAGTCCCTCGCCAAACAGGTTATGTTTTTGTGTTATTGTTTATTTGTCTTTAAGAAGGATTATGCAACAAATACCGTATCATGGTCTGTGGAAGAACCCGTAGAAATTTGGAGTGTATACAAATTAGGGGTCGACCGATTATCGAGGCCGATATTCCGCATTTGACAGATTATCAGTATCGGCCTTTTTTTTAATCAAATTGCCGATTCAACTCGCTATCTGATAGGCTATTACTGAAGTGTCAATCAACACTGAATATTTTCCGGGCTACAGCCAGCCAGAGAGGCTGGACCTTCTCAGATTACAGGCAGGTGCGAAGAACGCAGACACAGACAGGGGCAAGCAGCAGCAGTGAACGGTGTTTCAAAGGTAAATCAGTTGAAAGCCGAAGTTCAATAAACATCCCAATCCCCTATGCTGAAGTTGCAAAAACACCACGATCTTATGATCCAATTATATCAGTTTCCCAGATACAAAGGGACCAGGGGGGGAGGGTTGGGTAGCGTCTCGCAGCGGAGAACCTAGGCTTGTTTGAGATGAGCGAGACCGACGCAGACCTGCGCAATTGCGATCGCCGTCTTGCTAGTGCGTTGCATGATGGTTAGTAATTTTGTCCGACTTGCTCTGGAGGCTCGCCTACATGAGACGTTGAAATCTCGCTGGACAAAGACGCCGGCAGCCTTGAGAGCGAGGCGGCGCAGTTTCTCTCCACGGGCTGCGGAAGCTAAATGCTTGATGGGAAACGACTCGCTGGTATATCGAGCTGAGCGTTCATTGGTGGTTTTTACCCCGTGCTGGTGATGAAACTCTCCATTGGCTCGGCAAAGGTTTTTTGTTGTTTTGTGTCAGTTTTAAGCCCCTGACACACCTACCCGATTTTGGGAGTCAGATGTAGTCAGGCATTCGCGGCGCCCTACTCAGGTTGGTGTGTCCCGCACCGTCGTTGCTTTACGGCACATTTTCACACCTCCCGCGGCCTATTCCACGAATCGGCCAAAGAAATCACTCTGATTGGCTGTTGCCTCTTTTTTAAATGACTAATACACACTACCGCTGCCTGCTGGTAAGGACAGTTATTGCCACTCGTCGACTGAAGTATTTGCGGTGTGTTCGTAGGCGGGCAGCGCAGGCGACGTAGCGGACGTAAAAGTCGGGACGCCTTCGGTATGCGTTCTTTGGTCTCAGGTTGGTGTGTAGCAGCCTTTACGTCGCCACTTCCATTCACATTTTTCATCATTGTTCCACAGTGTTTATCATGAAATTAATATCTATATATTTCAGGGTTGCCAACTCTCACGCATCTGGCGTGTGACACACGCTTTCACTCTCAATCTCACGCTGCCCAAACTATTCTCACGCCAAAAACAAGATGAATCAGCGATCGTTTTTGGTTGGTTATTTACAATGTTGAGTTGACAGCTGCTCAAGCTGTCGATCCGCTCCCTCCCCGCCCCCACCACTCTTAACAACGTTAGCAGAGCAGTGGGAGCCAGTTGGTCAATCCCCGACCCGCATTGTGCATGCGCAGATCTAAGATCCAGTAGAAATGATAAAAAAGTAAAAGTCTGCTGCTTATTGTTCTACTAGGCCAAAATAGAGTCAAAGAGTATATGAGTGTGTTAATTAATATATTTGGCAGTTTGGATTAAGTCTGTAGATTTTTTTTTGTGTGTTTCATGTATAGGCCTCTCACGATAATTCATTTTGTTGGATACATTTTCCCGGAAATTATTGCGATAAACGATAATATTGTCGGCACCGTTGTATGACCATTTTAGACCACTGACATAACGATAATAAATGGCAATGTATCGAGTTCATTTTTATTTATCGTACGATAAGTCAATTAATTGCTTATCGCAACAGGCACACAATAAAACAGTGGAAACAAACATGTGTTTGACTTTCATTAGTAAATGAAACGTTGTGCCCTTTATAGTCTGTGTCCAATATTGTGTATTTGTATATATATCCTATATATATGCTAAGGTCCCGCTACTGATACGATAGCAGTCATTTAGTGCGCATATGTGTAATTAAACCCATGATATCAAAATCTCACTCCAGCCAGGTACCCAAAGTTGGCAACCCTGATATTTTATACTATACTTGCACTGCTTACCGTTTTCATACTGTATATATCTTAGCATATTTATACACACTGTTCATACTGCTCACAGGCTGCTGTGTATATCTAGTGTATTCATACCCCTCACTGTTTGTTCATCATTCAATTCATTCTATATTTTATTCTGTAGATTGTGTACATTACTTTTCACTTTACTGCTTTTTGCACTCCTGGTTAGAAGCTAAACTGCATTTCGTTGTCTCAGTACCTGTAATCTGTGCAATAACAATAAAGTTGAATCTAATCTTGAGCAGGAACACATTTATTTACTTAGTACATATCTGACATTAACGATTAAACACATTTGTGCATTCTTTATAAATGCAAACCGAGTCAAGCAGACTCCGGAGGTGGCGGTATGCACCTTAAAGTTGTTTGCAATCCCCCAAAAAACAGAGAGAAGAAGAAGCCGACTTCAGGCAAGCTTTTTGAGACCTCCCCCGGCTGCAATCGGCTATTCTCGTCTACTTTCGAGGCGAGCCGCAGCTCGTCTCAAACAAGCTTACTGTGACGCGCTGGGACGACTGGGATTGTGACGGCTGCTAGTGGAGCCTCGCAGCAACTCTGCTTTCTGAATCTGCACCACAATCTGGTGCTGCTGAATTGGGACTACTAAATGAGACTCAAATATCAGAAGTTCAGAATAAGTTTTAATTTTATTTTTACTTCATTTACTTTTACTCGGGGTCACAGAGAGGAAACCAGTTTTAAGATGTTGAAAAGTTCATTAAACATAAAAAGGCATTTCAAAGTAGTTGTACATTTTGACACCAAGATTTTCGGATTTTACTGTAAATGTATATCTGTTCCAAATATAGGTTATCGGTCTCCTTGATTACTAATCGGTATCGGCCTTGAAAAAGCCATATTGGTCGATCCCTAATCACAATGGGATATACACATTCTTTACTTATTGAAACGGCCTTGTCTGAGGTTTGTGTTATCTTAAGTTCCCTTAGAGTACTTTTAAGTCACAAATATCATTTTAACGATAAAGGTAAATATGGTTTCTCCAATTTTACCACATGTTGTCGCCACTTGTTTTTGTGGATATTTTATTTGTACTATATACAGTGGGGCAAAAAAGTATTTAGTCAGCCACCGATTGTGCAAGTTCTCCCACTTAAAAAGATGAGGCCTGTAATTTTCATCCTAGGTATACCTCAACTATGAGAGACAAAATGAGAAGAAAAAGAAATCCAGAAAATCACTGTCTGATTTTTAAAGAATTTATTTGCAAATTATGGTGGACAACAAATAAACAAAAAAGTGGCAGAAGTGAAATGAAAACATACACTAACAAAATATGACAAATCAGAGGGTTGATTGTTTCCCCCTTTCTGGTTGTCTGTCTTCATGGAGATAATGGACAGAAATGTTATTAATAGCATGCATTAAGGAATAAACCTTTTGTCACATGCTGCTAAAAAAAAAAAACTGTTGTTACAAAGCATCTGTGTGTCAAATGTTGAATTAAAAAGTAAGATGTGTAATACATGTCAAATAGGTCTCTATGTATACTATCTATAACTGTAATATGCCAACACAGAAACAGAAAGACATATGACAAACCTCTGCAACAGGTTTTAAATCAGGAGGTTGACTGCTTTCCCCGTTTTGGTTGGCTGTCTTCTTGGAAATAATGGACAGAAAGCTTATCAATAGCGTATTAATGTATAAACCTATTATCATGTTCTGCTAATATAAAATAAACTGTTGTAACAAAGAATTTGTGCATCAAAAGTTATATCAAAATGTAATAGATCTTAGTGTTTGTTTACTATCTATAACATTAAATGGCAAAAAAAAGACATAGAAAAATAATAAGACAAACCTCTGGAACAGGTTGTAAATCAGAGGGTTGGCTGCTTCCCACACTTTTGTTGTGTGTCTACATGAAAATAATGGACATCAAAAGTTAAATAAAAATGTAAGACGTGTAAGACATGAGCAATAGATTCCTGTGTATACTATCTATATTATAGATAGCATAGATTCTATAAAAACTTTAAAATACCATCAAAAATACTGAATACAATATGACCAACCTCTGCAACAGGTTGTAAATCAGAGGGTTGAATGTTTCCCCCATTCTGGTTGTCTGTCTTCATGGAGATAATGGATAGGAATTGTATTAATGTGTGTATTAGGGAATAAACATATTATTACATGATAATAATAAATAAACAGTTGTTTCAAAGAATTTTGGCTTCAAACGATACATTTCAATGCAAGACGAATGATGTACAATAGAGCTCTGTATTTACTATCTATAACTTTAAAATGGCAAAAAAGATATAGAAAGAAATAAGACAAACCTCTGCAACAGGTTGTAAATTAGGAGGTAGACTGCGTCTCCCATTCTGGTTGTCTGTCTTTATTGAGATAATGCACACAAATGTTATTAGTATCATGTTCTAAGGCAGGGGTTCTCAAAGTTTTGATGAGTGAGGGCCAATTTAGGTACCCAATATTGGATTGAGGGCCGCCCAAGAAAAAACGCAACACAAAATAATTCCAAAACAAATCCTTTCTTTATTGTACTAACCAATTACCGCAACTCGTGAGATGCCTAGTTGCCATGCAACCAGTAGTCTAGCAAACTTTCCACAAGCTGTCATTCATAATTTAGGAATGACAACCCAGGGGGCGCAGTTTTACCATTCTTAAATTCCATTCTAATTCTTACTAGATACAACCATGGAGGATTAAAATATAACGCATGCATTTCAGCGTGTCACATTAACTATCGCGGGCCGCCAGAAACCTTTCCGAGGGCCGCCATTGGCCCGCCGCGGGCCGCACTTTGAGAACCCCTGTTCTAAAGGGATACACCTATTATCATGGGTTGCTAATATCAAATGAACTGCTGTTACAAAGAATTTGGGTGTCAAAAGTTGAATTAAAATGCAAGATGTGTGAGACAAGAACAATAGTTCTCTATACTATCTACATTGGGGCAAAAAAGTATTTAGTCAGCCACCAATTGTGCAAGTTCTCCCACTTAAAAAGATGAGAGAGGCCTGTAAGTTTCATCCTAGGTATACCTCAACTATGGGAGACAAAATGAGAAAAAAATAAATAAATTAAAAAATCCAGAAAATCACATTGTCTGATTTTTAAATAATTTATTTGCAAATTATGGTGGAAAATAAGTATTTGGTCAATAACAAAAGTTCATCTCAATACTTTGTTATATACCCTTTGTTGGCAATGACAGAGGTCAAACGTTTTCTGTAAGTCTTCACAAGGTTTTCACACACTGTTGCTGGTACTTTGGCCCATTCTTCCATGCAGATCTCCTCTAGAGCAGTGATGTTTTGGGGCTGTCGCTGGGCAACACAGACTTTTAACTCCCTCCAAAGATTTTCTATGGGGTTGAGATCTGGAGACTGGCTAGGCCACTCCAGGACCTTGAAATGCTTCTTACGAAGCCACTATTTCGTTGCCCGGGCGGTGTGTTTGGGATCATTGTCATGCTGAAAGACCCAGCCACGTTTCATCTTCAATGCCCTTGCTGATGGAAGGAGGTTGTCACTCAAAATCTCACGATACATGGCCCCATTCATTCTTTCCTTTACACGGATCAGTCGTCCTGGTCCCTTTGCAGAAAAACAGCCCCAAAGCATGATGTTTCCACCCCCATGTTTCACAGTAGGTATGGTGTTCTTTGGATGCAACTCAGCATTCTTTCTCCTCCAAACACGTCTAGTTGAGTTTTTACCAAAAGTTCTATTTTGGTTTCATCTGACCATATGACATTCTCCCAATCCTCTTCTGGATCATCTAAATGCTCTCTAGCCAACTTCAGACGGGCCTGGACATGTACTGGCTTAAGCAGGGGGACACGTCTGGCACTGCAGGATTTGAGTCCCTGACGGCGTAGTGTGTTACTGATGGTAGCCTTTGTTACTTTGGTCCCAGCTCTCTGCAGGTCATTGACTAGGTCCCCCCGTGTGGTTCTGGGATTTTTGCTCACCGTTCTTGTGATAATTTTGACCTCACGGGGTGAGATCTTGCGTGGAGCCCCAGATCGAGGGAGATTATCAGTGGTCTTGTATGTCTTCCATTTTCTAATAATTGCTCCCACAGTTGATTTCTTCACACCAAGCTGCTTACCTATTGCAGATTCAGTCTTCCCAGCCTGGTGCAGGTCTACAATTTTGTTTCTGGTGTCCTTTGACAGCTCTTTGGTCTTGGCCATAGTGGAGTTTGGAGTGTGACTGTTTGAGGTTGTGGACAGGTGTCTTTTACAGTGTTGGGAGTAACGCCGTTGAGAGTAACGCCGTTATTTTCGACAGTAACTAGTACTCTAACGCATTATTTTTTACATTCAGTAACTCAGTTACCGTTACTACATGGTGCGTTACTCCGTTATTTTTTTTTATATAGTCAACAGCCAGGCGAACAGAGATGAGAACTGTACTTAAGTACTTGAGTAAATGTACTTAGATACTTCCTGTGTCACATGCGGAGACGAGCTGTGGGCGTGTTTGTGTTGTTTACTAACAAGACTATCATGGCGGCGGCGGAGCTCAAGTCTAGTTTCTCCACCTGGAGATATTCTCACTATTTCACTTTTGTCGAGCACAAAGAAAAGAAAGTTTCTGTTAAATGTAAGTTGTGTCCTGGCGGGTCAAATATCTTATCTACTGCCCAAACCAGTAATTCAAATCTCTTAAAACAAATGCAAAAACAACATGCTGGGACGAAGCTAGTAGCTAAGACCACAGAGACTCAGCCGACGCCACTCCACCTCCACCTACGTAAGCAACAGCGGCTGGATTGTAACCGAGGGACTGCTAGCCAGGAAAAGTCGATAAAGCCATTGCACGGTATGTTGTAGAACACATGCAGGCTATTGCTACAGTGGAGTCACCCGCTTTCAGGGAGCTAGTTAGCATGATACCATGTCCGGGCGGCACACGGCATATGGGACGGAAAACTTGTTCCAACTACCTGGAGAAAGAATATACAAAAATGGAAAGCCAGCTAATATCGATGCAATCCAGATTGCATATAATGCATGTCAAGTTGATCAACATATTGTATTATTCTCCAATGCAATGACAATACTGAAAGGAAGGCTATAACATAAGGGCATTAATGGGAGACCTTTTTTCAACTAACTAAAACGTTACTTTTCACAGTAACGCATTACTTTTTGGGTTTAAGTAACTGAGTTACTTTTGAAATGAAGTAACTAGTAATGGTAACTAGTTACTGGTTTTCAGTAACTAGCACAACACTGGTCTTTTATACTGATAACGAGTTCAAACAGGTGCCATTAATACAGTTAACAAGTGGAGGACAGAGGAGGCTCTTAAAGAAGAAGTTACAGGTCTGTGAAAGCCAGAAATCTTGTTTGTTTGTAGGTGACCAAATACTTATTTTACAGAGGAATTTACCAATTAATTCATTAAAAATCCTACAATGTGATTTCCTGGATTATTTCCCCCCATTCTGTCTCTCATAGTTGAAGTGTACCTAGGATGGAAATTACAGGCCTCTCATCTTTTTAAGTGGGAGAACTTGCACAATTGGTGGCTGACTAAATACTTTTTTGCCCCACTGTATTTTGTACCGAGTGCGATTCTTAAAGCAGTCTGTTAATAGTATGTGTATTGAGTTGAGATGATCTGTTTTAAATACTCTTTGGGGGCAGAAGGTTGCCGGGTTGCTCAGATTTAAAGAGGTAAACTATCGGAGGCAATTTTGAATGTTCATAAAGGGATTGATCTGAGCTGCATTGGATGTTGGTAGAGGGTTTTGAGTTGGGACCCCACTCTTTGACATTAAGACCCATTTCTTGTTTTGAGGAATGAATCATTAGGAGTGTTGGACACCTGGGCTGGAGTGACTGCTCAGCCATATCATTATGAATGCATCCACACTGCTCACTTACGTTAATTTAATAATGAATAAGAAAAAATGCCAAAGATGAAGTATTTCTAGGAAAAAACATTGCTTAGTTTGTCCACCAGAGAGCACTGATTTAAACGTTCAGTTGGTCACCATTCAGAAATGTTGAAAATAAATGATCAGATTGTTTAAAAAATCAAATATTGTTTTCAGCCTCAAAGATCTATTTTGTACCTTTTTATGTCTTTAGGTTTTTTTTAAGAAAATATAACATTTTAAATGTTCATTAAATCTCTCGTTTATTGGTAATGTATAACATTTAAAAAATATTTAGTACAATATTGAAAATAGTACAATTGTGTAGACAAAATGTTTAATGCATGAATAATGATCAAGAAGATGGAAGGATGAATAATGGTGATGATTTTCTATATTCAATAAAGTGATATCATATAAATTTGATTTTGATCGTTTTTTTATTTGTGAATGGTTGTCCTAAATTAAAGGATCTATTTTTTGCTTTGTGCATCAAAGATTTATTATTCAACACTTTTTTGCATTTGATGGACAAGACTATTGGTCTCTCTTCCTCCATAAATCCTGTTGGTTTGTGCTTCTGGATATATCAGGGATATATTTTGATAAATGTATGCTTTATTTTACATTTGGATATCCGTTTACTCCCACAAAGTTGGCCATGTCTTCATTAGAGTCTGTATTAAAGGATAACCCACATTTTTTCTTATCACACATCCTGTATTACAATGAGAAAGCAGCACAGGACAAACTTGTATTGGATCTACTGGAGATATTGGAGCTTAATTAATTAAATACATCATAATGTCAGTTCATTATAGATTTTTTTGTATTTGTATTCTGCATTTGCAGAGCAACTAAATCTATCAAAAAATAAATGATGTACAGTAAATAAACATTTGCACCTGAGATGTATCAGAGTAGTGCATAATGTTATCTTTATCTTTAATAATGTAGCCAAAGAATAGGAATAAGTACAACTAAGTAAATGCCAAAGCAAGGTAATAGAGGGCTTATACAAATATGACATTTATTATTTTTCTTTGGTATATTTAAGAAAAAATGTGCAACACTAAAGCCAGCATGATGCTGTGCGGAACGTTTGACCTGGATGGCAGTTTCTACACGGTCGCGTTTTTTAAACGGACCAACGCTGAGTGCCTGGCAAAATGGAAGTGTAAGAA